GGTTCTATCCTTTCAATTCTCAGCTGTCTTTTCAAAATAAAAGTAATAACATGAGTGGGTTATATCTAGGCTACATGGGGAGCGCGTATTATGGATCTGTTGTAATCACGTGATACGTGCGCAAACACGTGGTCGCATGCGCGCGGAAACCGGAAGTCCCGTGTAGTGTGATTTCTATGTACATATAAAATTGCTCGTGATAATAACTGCTTCTTAATCATAATTTGTTATCGAGGTGATTGTTCGTGATGGATGATACAATTTTAAGTTTGAAGACACAGCTCTTGGAAAGGGAGAAAGAGATTGCAGCTTTGAAGAAGAAACTTCATCAAATGGAAAAGGTCTGCAATTAGTTAGTTATTCTGTTTACTCTGTAAATATTCTGATAACAGAATATTTGCCTTTGTGTGGTTCACACAAAATGCCTTTGTGTGATTCTGTACCGTTATGCGTCTGTAGCACTAATGATTTTAACAACGAGTATTTAATGCCAATGTATATGTGTTGTTACTGTGTATGGAGTGAAAACAGTATCAACAATTTATTTTAAGGTTTAGGTTCGGTCAGACAAGTGTATTACAATTATTTTTCTGAAGATAAATATTTAAAGGCATAGATTGATAGAACAGCTTAAATCATATATTAATTGTTGGACAGAATAATCTTTTGAAAGGCACCCGTGTCATGACGTAGACATAACGTTATAGTCAAATTTAAACATATAAACATATTTAAACATATATATCACCTTTTGGGAGCTCAACGATTTGCAAATCGGCATAAATCGGGCTTGAAATCCTCTAGTGTGAACTTGGCTTAAAGGATTAGTTCACTTTTGAAAAAACTTTTGCTGATAATTTACTCACCCCCATGTCATCCAAGATGTCCATGTCTTTCTTTCCTCAGTCGAAAAGAAATTAAGGTTTTTGATGAAACCATTCCAGGATTTTTCTCCTTATAATGGACTTCAATGGGAACCAGGTCCAACCGAGGTCCAAACGACAGTTAATAACAGTTTCAGATGCAGCTTCAAATGTCTTTAAACGACACCAGACGATGAATAAGGGTCTTATCATGCGAAACGATCGGTTATTTCAAAGCTTTATTCCAAAAATGTAACTTTTCTAAGGATAAATGCTAGCCTTTCTCCATTCTGTGAGGCGCGTTTGTAACGTCACGTAATACGTAATTACGTTCAAAAGGTCACGGGCGACGTAGCCGGAAGTACAGAATCAAAATCGTCCGACATCGTGTTTTTACCTTTTAATTCCTTTTTTTGTAAACGGCGTTTGAGTTAGTTTTCACGTTCAACCTATGCGTTCAACTTGTAAACACTCTGACTCTGTACTTCTGGCTACGTCGCCCGTGACCTTTTGAACGTAATTACGTATTACGTGACGTTACAAACGCGCCTCACAGAATGGAGAAAGGCTAGCATTTGTCCTTAGAAAAGTTACATTTTTGGAATAAGTTTTGAAATAACCGATCGTTTCACATGATAAGACCCTTATTCATCGTCTGGTGTCGTTTAAAGACATTTGAAGCTGCATCTGAAACTGTTATTAACTGTCGTTTGGACCTCGGTTGGACCTGGTTCCCATTGAAGTCCATTATAAGGAGAAAAATCCTGGAATGTTTTCATCAAAAACCTTAATTTATTTTCGACTGAGGAAAGAAAGACATGGACATCTTGGATGACATGGGGTGAGGAAATTATCAGCAAAAGTTTTTTTAAAAGTGAACTAATCCTTTAAGCTGGGCTGAGTTGAATGGGGGACGGAGGGGGTGACTCTGGGATGCCAGGGTCACTGTCGAGCCCTCTTGAGGTGTCGTGGGCTAGTCGACGAAACGCTGAGGACGGAAGGTGCCCACTTGAAGACCCTAGGGATGTCCCCTACTCGGCTCAATCCAGACGGTTGTCGTGGTGGTCCACAAGGGAGACCACACGACACAATAGTTCCAGCCATCGTGTGTGCTGACGCGGCAAGTACACTGCAGCCGTAAACGCCGGACAGACGGAGAGTCACATCACCATATGGAAAGAAGTGTAAATGGATGGAGAAGCATAGTTTTACTGTAAAGCTGCGTCTAGCTTACCTTGGCTGAAGCCAAGTATAAATCAGCATGAAGTTTTAACATCTACTCTTGTGTAATGGAAATCATCATAAGAAGCCTTCTCAGAGCAGATGATTTTCTTGTCTGAAAACTGAAAAGACTCCCTCCCCTTTTTTTCAGGGAAACTCAATAACAACAGAGTTACTGGAGAAGTTACCAATCTTTCACCACTGAAATCAAATGTAACGCTGAGCAATGAGGACATCATGAGATACAGCAGGCAGCTTCTCCTACCAGAACTTGGTGTTAAAGGTTAAACAATATTTTGACTTGAACGTTTATAATGTAACTCTTTTCTTTTCTTTTCTTTACACAATCTTCTTTTCTCCACAGGCCAAGTTGCCATAAGTAATGTATCTGTTCTGGTTGTGGGATGTGGAGGTTTAGGTTGTCCCCTTGCGCAGTATCTGGCTGCTGCTGGAATAGGTAATGTGTATTTACAATGTTCATAATGCTGTTAAGTATAGGAGTTTATCTGTACAAGTAAAGTCCTGTTGACACCTGCTATTAAAGGATAGTTCACCCAAAAAATGAAATTTACCCCATGATTTACTCACCCTCAAATCATCCTAGGTGTATTTGACATTTTTCTTTTCAGACAAACACAATTGGAGTTATATTAAAAAAATGTCCCGGCCCTTCCAAGCTTTATAATGGCAGTGAATGGCCGTAAGTCCATAAAAGTGCATCAGTCCATGATAAAAGTGCTCCACATGGCTCCGGGGGTTCATAAAGGCCTTCTGAAGCTTTTGTGTAAGAAAAATATCCATATTTTAAATATTAAATATTAGGGCTGTGCAAAAGTTAATTGCGATTAATCGCATCCAAAATAAAAGTCTGTGTTTACATAATATATTTGTGTGTGCTGTATATAATTATTTTGTATATATAAATACACACACATGCATGTATATATTTAAGAAAATATGTTATTAATATATAAAATATTTATATTTATATAATATAGATTATGTATTTATAAATATATACAGAATTTAAGCGCAAATAATTCTTAAATATATACATGCATGCATAGGTATTTATATATACAAAATAATTATATACAGCACACACCAAATATACTATGTAAACACAGACTTTTATTTTGGATGCGATTAATCGCAATTAACTTTTGCACAGCCCTATTAAATATTATCAAATATTAAAAAAATTCATAAGTTATATAAAAAAAAATGTCCTGGCCCTTCCAAGCTTTATAATGGCAGTGAATGGCCGTAAGTCCATAAAAGTGCATCAGTCCATGATAAAAGTGCTCCACATGGCTCCGGGGGGTTCATAAAGGCCTTCTGAAGCTTTCGTGTAAGAAAAATATCCATATTTTAAATTTATCGACTAAAATAATTAGCTTCTGGCATACTAGCCAATTCGACTTGCGCCACAAGAGTAACCAGTGAAGCATGTATGATGAAGCATGTAAGTTTAGACGCCTCTCGCGGTTCAGACAAACATGGCTCGGCATCAAACTCAAGCTCCTCCGACATTTCCCTTTAAAAATTGTTGTTTTAGACTTATAATTCGTGACTTCCACGGCCGTCATTACGTTGTGTGTCAGGTCAAGGGTCACTCTTTCACCGTAAATCTGTGTACTGTCGTCTGCCGGAAGCTAGTTTTTTTATTCGATAATATTTTAAATGTGGATATTTTTCTTACACTAACAAATCGCCTAACTTTAGAAGGCCTAACCTTTATTAATCCGCCAGAGCCGTGTGGAGCGCTTTTATGATGGATGGATTTACTTTGATGGACTTAAAAAATACACGGCCATTCACCATTCACACAAATGACCCCACACTTATCATGGGGTAGTTTTCATTTTTGGGTGAACTATGCTTTTAAGAAGCATTTTCGGCAAGTGGACGACGCTAAATACAGACGTAAACTGGGTCTAAAATGACCACTTCCAGAGGTAGTCGAAAATGCGAATGCTTTCAAACGGCCACAAAAGAGTAGACCGCCTTCCCCATGATGGATTTAAAGGGTTAGTTCACCCAAAAATGAAAATTCTGTCAGTATTTACTCACCCTCATGTTGTTCCAACCCCGTAAGACCTTCGTTCATCTTCGGAACACAAATTAAGATATTTAGGATATTAAAATCGCTCCTGCATACAGTCCATAGGCTTCTTGAGGGACTGGCTCTTGCTGTCCTCGAAAAGTAATTGAAGACATCGTTAAAATAGTCCAAGTGACTACAGGGGCTCAATCTTAAGTTTATCAAACGACGAGAACACTTTTGTGCGCAAAAAAACAACAAAAATAACGACTTTATTTCAACTATTCACTTCCTTCTCCATAAGCCTATAGTCCGTTAACGTAGTGTGATTGCGTAGAGCTACGTCACACGTAGGCTCACTATTGGTCGACGCTGGTCATGTGTGTGTGATGCGTGTGACGTACAATAACAGAAGCTTACGCTATTAAACTAGTAACCTGACTCGTGCAGAGGGAGAAATAAACGAATAGTTGAAATAAAGTCGTTATTTTTGTTGTTTTTTTGCGCACAAAAGTGTTCTCGTCGTTTGATAAACTTAAGATTGAGCCCCTGTAGTCACTTGGACTATTTTAACGATGTCTTTTATGACTTTTCGGGGACGGCAAGAGCCAGTCCCTCAAGAAGCCTATGGACTGTATGCAGGAGCGATTTTAATATCTTAAATATCTTAATTCGTTTTCCGAAGATGAACGAAGGTCTTACGGGGTTGGAACAACATGAGGGTGAGTAAATACTGACAGAATTTTCATTTTTGGGTGAACTAACCCTTTAAACACCAGGTTTAAATGGGTATGTGTCTCCCTCTACTTGTGTTTGACCAAAATGCATCTTAAAACCAGGTTTTAAACATTTTAAAACCAGGGCCTTAAACATTTTGAGCTTGTCCACATTCGACCACTTCCAGAGTTGTTAGCGTATATGCTCATGTGGTTGATCTGATTGGTTACAAGGCGGTTTGTGACGTCAGAAACTCCAGCGATTTCAAACCGTGTTTTTGAGACCGTCTTTGGTTCACTGCAGTTTCAAGGAGAAAATACTCAGGAATGGTGTTGACTCATGAGTTTGCACATGGTTTGCATATTAAAAACACTACATACACATACAAACAACATTAAAAGTTGGATTTTCACCACAGGGGAACTTTAACAAATGAACAAACACAACTTTTGATTTTAAAAATGCATTAGTAAATGTTGTAATTACCATTGAGTAAGACTAACAAGTGCTGTTGTAATATTAATAATCCATGTAAACTAAATAAACCGATGTTAACATATTAAACCATATTCTAAAGTGGTACTACTAATTCATTATATAGATATAGTTTTTATAGTTGAAATTATATATACACACACTACCAAGTAAATAATAATAATATATGATGGATTAAATGGATCAAAAACATACAAACATTTACATTGTTACAAAAGATTTCTATTTCAAATAAATGCTGTTCTTTTGAACTTTCTGTTCATCAAAGTAATAATATATAATCATAATAATAATAAGCAGCACAACTGCTTTTAAACTGTAATAATATTTGATAATATTACTGTTTTTATATCAAATAAATACAGCCTTGGTGAGCAGAAGACTTCTTTCATATGCATTAAAATAATCTTACTGATTAGAAACATTTGAACGGTAGTGTATAACTAACATATTTAGCTGTAATAGTTAGAGAGAGAGTCTATTTTTTAACCCTTGTGCATCCTTGTGGACATTTTTGTCCTTTTCAGTTTTGTTTTTTTGATCACTTTGCCTGTGTTAAAGCTAACTGCAAAAAACTTGCCACATGTGTGTATTTTTATTGGAATTTTACTATTTCACCGTCATTTTCTTAAAAAACTATTTTTTTCATTAGGTACAAAAAATACTCCCTCTCAGCACCTTTTGGACAAAAATGTCCCCATTGAAACCCATTAAAACTGCCATTTTTAATCCCCGGTTCAGTTAACTATAAAATTATGCAATCTTTGTTAAGAGGCTTTCATTCTGATGGCAAGGCTTCAAAATTTTATTTTTTACTATTTTTTATAAGATGATGTCATTTTTTTTTAAAGTTTGGCCAATAAAACAAATATCGCTTTTTTCCTGTTTTCTGGTTCGGCATACTACAGAGCCAACTGGATAAATTATGCAACGATATTTGTGTGGGTGTGTTGGTATGGATGTCAGAGTGTGGTTAGTGTGTGTGTTATAAAAAAATATGTGTGTGTGTTTGTAATACTGAGAGAGAAAAACTGCAAATAACAAATCCAATCACTGTGAGCACCAGTGGGGTTTTGCTGAATGGGGAAAATATGTCACTACGCCCAAACAAACTGTTACCGAAAGCTCATTTTTTTGAGATATCATCCTCAAATTTGGAACACAACCTATTTAGATATATGGCTTTGATTTTATTGTAGTTTTGAGTTCAACCTGATTTAAAAAATATATATTTTCTATAAAATATTATTTTATAAATAATTTTCATAAACTTATACCTATATAACTTTTTTTTTTTTATTTACTTATTATTATTATTTTTACTTCAGCAATAATCTGCAAAGGGTCTTCTTTAAAATGATACCAAACTTAAGTCTCTGCTCCAAAGCGTTACATTTTTATGACATGGACATTTTTGTCCTCTTTTTACCTATGTGTAATTTTTTTTAATTGATGCACAAGGGTTAAATTAACTTTTTTAATTTAAGAGAAATGCACAAAACAGAAATCCCCATAGTTACCAGTCTAAATGCTAAAGTAGAAGAGATGAGGGCTGAATCCGCTGTTCGTAAAGGGTCCCGTGAAAACCTTCATATCTCGTTTTAGTTTGTGTCCCAAAGCAAACACTTGCGTGAAGACACAGCTGTAATTGTACTATGGCACTAGTCGGCAGCCGTTAATGTAGTTTGTGTTTTCAGGACGTTTGGGCCTGTTGGACTATGATGTGGTGGAACTGAGTAACTTGCACCGACAGGTGCTTCATTCAGAAGTGACTCAAGGTCAGCCTAAAGCCCTGTCTGCCGCCCAGGCCATCAGCAGGTACCATCCCACCTACAAAACCAGCACAGGTGAGCGACTGAACGACGGAGAGCTGACCGCCTCTGATCTCTTCCAGGTTGAACTCCACAGTTCAGTGTGTTCCTTATCACCTCCAGCTCTCCAGAGACAACGCCAGACAACTCATTCAACAATATCCACTCATGAATTGCTATTGAGAAGTTAATCTTGAACTTTTTCCACAGTTCTGTACAGTGCGAAACCCATTTATTTGTCTCCTTGACTTTGCATCTTCATGTATGACATCGTGGCCGACTGTTCAGACAACGTTCCCACACGGTACCTCGTGAACGATGCCTGCGTTCTGGCCGGCAAGCCTTTAGTGTCAGCGAGTGCTCTACGAATGGAAGGACAGGTGAGCTCATCAAACCTGCAGACAGTGAGCTGTACATTGGTATTTTACTGTGGTCGCAAGTATTTTACACATTCTTTTAAAGGGACAGTCAGCCAAAAATGAAAATATATACTGTATATGTATCTATACAGGAAGTCAATGGGATGCTATGCTTTTTTGACATCAACATTCTTTAAAATCTCTTATTTGTGTTGCGTAGAAGAAAGAAAGTTGATCGAAAGTACAAGAACACTGAAAGTAATGATTTACACAGATACCAAAACTGCAACCTTGATTTTTCTTGATACCACGACTGTTTATATATTTATATGATTTCTGGAGGATCATGTGACACTGGAGACTGGAGGAAAGGCTGATGAAAATCCAGCTTTACATCACATCAATAAATTATATTTAAAAGTATATAATAAAAAAGCATTATTTTACAGTAAATTTTAATAATGTTTCACAATATTACAGTTTGTTTCTGTATTTTTGATCAAATTAATGCACCCTTGATGAGCCACAAATGACCATTTTTACTCTGAGGTGGACACAGGTTTCGATACTAATGTGGTGTTTAACACCCTAAAGCTGTATTTGATTTGCGTATTTTAAAATATTTCTCAAATATGTTTAAATAGGAATAAGCATATTTCGAAAATCATATCCATCAACAATATTAATAAATAATAAAAACATTAAGTGAATGTGAGTGTAGACCTTTTATTAAAAAAACCCTGCAATTTAAAACAACTATTTGTGACAAGAGTGTCTGTATCTTATGAATAATACATTTATGATAGTTATTACTACATGAATATACACTCACCTAAAGGATTATTAGGAACACCTGTTCAATTTCTCATTAATGCAATTATCTAATCAACCAATCACATGGCAGTTGCTTCAATGCATTTAGGGGTGTGGTCCTGATCAAGACAATCTCCTGAACTCCAAACTGAATGTCAGAATGGGAAAGAAAGGTGATTTAAGTAATTTTGAGCGTGGCATGGTTGTTGGTGCCAGACGGGCCGGTCTGAGTGTTTCACAATCTGCTCACTTACTGGGATTTTCACGCACAACCATTTCTAGGGTTTACAAAGAATGGTGTGAAAAGGGAAAAACATCCAGTATGGGGCAGTCCTGTGGGCGAAAATGCCTTGTTGATACTAGAGGTCAGAGGAGAATGGGCCGACTGATTCAAGCTGATAGAAGAGCAACTTTGACTGAAATAAGCACTGGTTACAACCGAGGTATGCAGCAAAGCATTTGTGAAGCCACCACACGCACAACCTTGAGGCGGATGGGCTACAACAGCAGAAGACCCCACCGGGTACCACTCATCTCCACTACTAATAGGAAAAAGAGGCGACAATTTGCAAGAGCTCAACAAAATTGGACAGTTGAAGACTGGAAAAATAATGCCTGGTCTGATGAGTCTCGATTTCTGTTGAGACATTCAGATGGTAGAGTCAGAATTTGGCGTAAACAGAATGAGAACATGGATCCATCATGCCTTGTTCCCACTGTGCAGGCTGGTGGTGGTGTAATGGTGTGGGGATGTTTTCTTGGCACACTTTAGGCCCCTTAGTGCCAATTGGGCATCGTTTAAATGCCACTTCCTACCTGAGCATTGTTTCTGACCATGTCCATCCCATTATGGCCACCATGTCCCCATCCTCTGATGGCTACTTCCAGCAGGATAATGCTCCATGTCTCAAAGCTCCAATCATTTCAAATTGGTTTGTTGAACATGACAATGAGTTGACTGTACTAAAATGGCCCCCACAGTCACCAGATCTCAACCCAATAGAGCATCTTTGGGATGTGGTGGAACGGGAGCTTCGTGCACAAATCTCCATCAACTGCAAGATGCTATCCTATCAATATGGGCCAACATTTCTAAAGAATGCTTTCAGCACCTTGTTGAATCAATGCCACGTAGAATTAAGGCAGTTCTGAAGGTGAAAGGGGGTCAAACACAGTATTAGTGTGGTGTTCCTAATAATCCTTTAAGTGAATATACACACTATAAACAACATTTCTTTGTAATGTTTGGTGCCGATTTTTAATAGGACAACAGACATGATTAGATAAGACAAATATATAGGGTGAACATGAATTATCTCTGATTGCAAAAAATGGTGTAAAGTTTTCAGTGCAACGCAACACAAAAGCACTTGATGATGCGCATGATGATGCGCTATAAAGTAACCTTACGTTTTTGAGTCATTCAATCATGAGATTTATTAATTCTTCAACACACTCATCTCACAGACACCCAATCGTGAGTATAACACCATTTATAATCGCCTGTAAACTCAAACCTTTTTTAAACTAAAAGAAATGTACATTTTGTAACATCGTTCAGAGTTTTACTGTCACAGCTGAACGTGAAGGCAAGAGTTTCCATATCCTCCTCATATACTGTCTGTTCCTAAAATTAAAGGGATACTCCACCGGGTTTTCATATTAAACTATGTTATTCCCTTAACTAAGACGAGCTGATGCATACCTCTCTCGTCTCAGTGAGTGCACTCTATCGCTTTGTATTGCCGCAAAACTATGTTAGCGCTTAGCTTAGCCCAGTGCATTAAATATGGGCCAAAAAGAGAAGCGACAAAACACTTCCTCGTTTTCCCTATTTAAACACAGTTACTCGATTAGTGTAACTCGACCTAGGCTGGTGACACAAAATAAAATGTGTTTTTCTAAGCATTTAAAATTGATGACTATATTGTATGGCGGAATACCATAAAAAGTGCTTTAGAGCACTTCAACTTGGCGCAATAATACCTTCACTCGTGAAAAGTCCTCTTACCGGCTCCCGGTAATAAAGTCGTCAATTTTAAACGCTTAGAAAAACACAACGTTTTATTTTGTGTCACCAGCCTAGGTCGAGTTACACTAATCGAGTAACTGTGTTTAAATAGGGTAAACGAGGAAGTGTTTTGTCACTTCTCTTTTTGGCCCATATTTAATGCACTGGGCTAAGCTAAGCGCTAACATAGTTTTGCGGCAATACAAAGCGATAGAGTGCACGCACTGAGACGAGAGAGGTATGCATCAGCTCGTCTTAGTTAAGGGAATAACATAGTTTAATATGAAAACCCGGTGGAGTATCCCTTTAAAGAGTAACTAAACACTTAACCAACTTTTTTTAGTTAATGATCTGTAAGAATGGATCTTTATTAATCAGTCATTGATTCGAGTAACTTTTTTGACATTTGTTTATAAAGTGTTCTATTTCTACAATATATGGTGTAAAAACGTCTTAGTGCTGCCCTCTTCAGGTTGAACGGTGGCTACTGCAGTTGAATTTTCCTATTGGATGTTTGCGGTAGTACGTGACACAGCGGTTGTTGGTGACGTAGGCAAGTTCCATACAAAGAGATGCGTCTCAGGTGCACGCCCCCCTCCGCTGGGCTCTGCCCACTTTTCCAGCATTTTTCAAATATTGCCAGTGGGTGGAGTCAGCTCCGACCAGGGGTTTAGTTACCCTTTAAGTTTCCGTTTGTCTTTAGAAAAGCAGGAATATTGTGCAAGAAATCGTTCATGGTACAATTATAATACCTTTTGGTATTAACAGTAACAACCATAATGCACAGTTTACATAATGTACAGTTGGATTGGTCCCGTCTGACCGAGACCCGGTTCAATAAAAAAGCTCTGTAATGGAACGATGCCGAGTGTCGTATTGGTGCAGTTTGACCACAGTCACAATTGTTCATCCGCTGACTTTCCACAAGAATAAAGGGGCAGCTTTTTATTAGGGTTACCTCATTGTATTGTGAAGTGTTTTGAATAACACTGTCACTTTTGATTAATTTAATGCAGTCTTTTTGAATAAAAGTATGAATTTCTTGCAAAAAAAGAAAAAAATTGACCCCAAACTTTTGAACGAGAGTATATATACATATATGTCTTTTGAGTTAATTGTGAGATTTTGATTATTTCAATGTTTCTCTTGTAGCTCACGGTGTACAACTATCGAGGAGGGCCGTGTTACCGGTGTTTGTTCCCCTCTCCACCTCCTCCTGAGACTGTCACCAACTGCTCTGATGGAGGGGTTCTGGGAGTGGGTCAGTCGGACTCTACTTGACCTGATTATGTGCCGTAGTTTCAGAGATCTCTGCTTCTTCCTCTTCATCATCATCTTCTTCTCTATATTTATTTGAGACAGAACTACTTGCTTATTGTACAAAGTCAATTCAAACTTTGTTTCTTCTGGAGTGGTTTGTTCAAATCAACTTTTACAAAGTCTTGATTTTGTTTTGGGTTCTACTAGAATAGGTTTTCATGCGTGAAAAAAATCCTGATTTTTTACAATTTTACATTATTGCAGCTCCTCTCTTCCCAGTCTGTCAGTACCGCTTTTAGTTTCCTGCATGTCTCCATGAAGACCCTCCTTTTGAAATCGCAATGGGTTCTGATTGGTCGGCTGGACCAGTGTGTTGTGATTGGTCAACCGGTTTGAGTGTATTTCGGAAACACACTACTAACGAGATTCAACACACTATTGACCTAACTCAACCAGGCCCTGCCCCTTTTTTGTATATGTATTGTGCAGGAATGGTTTAAATGATGTGACATTTACGTTCTTGGAAGAAAACTCGACACTTATTTAGAGAATCACTCCCACTGGAGGGACATTGTGCTTTTTAACTTTCAGAGCTTTTTCATCCTCAAGCAGTAACATTACACATTAAAGAAACATGAATATGTGAAAAAGCATAATAGGTCCTGATTAAGGTCATTTAAAGGGATAGTTCACTTTGAAATTAATTGTTGGTATGTTTTAGCTTACCTCAAGGGCATCCAAGATGTAGGTGTCTTTGTTTCCTCAGTAGTTTCAATTTTGATATTTTTAGCTCAAACCGTTCTTGTCTGTCAGTCATATAATGGAGGTCTATCTATGGTCACCACCTCAAAGAGCATGCACAGAGAAGTCCAAATTAAACATGATTTAATGACTCATAAATGTAAGTACACATTGATGGCCTAAGACACGAAACGAGCGGTTTGAGTGAGAAAACGAACAGTATTTATATCGTTTTTACCTCTTGTAACCACAGCCACGTCCAACTGATCTGAGGGCACGGGCGCTTTGGTCTGTGCAAGCGCCGGAAGTGATCAATCTCTCTCTCTCTCTCTCTCTCTCTCTCTCTCTCTCTCTCTCTCTCTCTCTCTCTCTCGCGTGTACGTCACTCATTATTTACACAGAGATTTCGTAAGTGTTACCTTTCACTGTGAAGATCTAAACATATTTAGATATTCAGGACATCACAATGGAAGGCGATTTCGATATATCGACAGACAACGTTTAATTTTTTTTCACAACTGCGCGAGAGATCACTTACGGCACTTGCGCAGATCGAAGCACCCACGCCCTCAGATCACTTTGACGTAAATGTGATCACCAGAGGTAAAATGATATAAATGATGTTAGTTTTCTCACACAAACCGCTCGTTTCGTGTCTTAGGCCATCAATGTGTACTTACATTTACGAGTCATTAAATCATGTTTAATTTGGACTTCTCTGTGCATGATCTTTGAGGTGGTGACCATAGACCTCCATTATATGACTGACAGACAAGAACGGTTTGACTTAAAAATATCAAATTTGAAACCACTGCGGAAACAAAGACACCTACATCTTGGATGCCCTTGAGGTAAGCTAAAACATACCAAAAATTAATTTCAAAGTGAAAATAGCTCTGACTGCTGACATGGCATGAAATAAAATAATCTGAATCTATTTCAAAGTGAACTATCCCTTTAAGTAGGAAGTTTGAAATTGACTGACATTTGCATACTAAATTGCAGTTGGTCTTCTTTCTTGCATTTGATTTCATACTGAATTTTGCATATGCTGAGTGTCTCGACAAAGACCGTCTCTCTCATTTACTTAAAACTGAATCCTAAGTTCTTTGCTTATCTAAAACAACAATACTGTTTCTTTTTCTAACTGCAGATCTTACCAAAAAACAAACTATTTTTAAGTTATTTCTGACTTTTAAAAAAGTGAATATGAATTCCTCTTCTGTAATGATCTCATAATCCCTTCACGTTCATTCTGCATTGAGCATCTGACTGTGAAGTGACCTGTTTTGATTCTTGCAGTGCCTGGTATAATGGGTTGCCTTCAAGCATTAGAAGTTCTGAAAATTGCGTCTGGTCAAGGATGTATCCTTTCCGCCCTTAATGACAGCCTAAACTGAAACAATTATGCTTTTAAGCTCACTTATTACCATAGTGTAGAAAGAACATAATGAAGTCACTCCTTAACCGGTCTGTTCAGCCTCATTTGAGCAGCAGCTGCTGATGTTTGATGGTCAGGAGGGGCGTTTCCGGGCCATACGTCTGCGGTCCAGGCAGATGGAGTGTGTGGTGTGTGGAGACAAGCCCACGATCACTGAGCTCCAGGACTATGAGCAGTTCTGTGGCTCTGCTGCGACGGATAAGGTCTGAGGATGACGAAATCTCACACTTTTTTTCCTATAGTCATCCTTGTGTGTGTGTGTCAATGATGCAAACCAATCAACTGTGGTTAAACGTCCACAAGGCGTCACTGTCACACACTTATTATGGAGAGTGTGTTTTGCAGAGACTTGCTACTCGTGAGCTTTGAAAAGCAAATGCACATAAATGTTATTAAACAAAGCCATGGCAAATACGTACATTCAGTCAGAAATCAACTGATCAGACGTGGCTTACATCAGCATTTATTTTTGGTGGTTTTGGTTTAAACGTTGTAATGAAAACCAGTGCTGATGTTTTCTCAGTTATTATTTCTGTTTTATTTCATTCACAGTGTCGGAGACTGAATCTTCTAACCAAAGAACAGAGAGTCTCAGTGCAGGTAGTACAGTTATTTTTCCTCATTCTGGGCATGCAGAGGAATGTAATAAGGGGTCTTTAAATTTCCATTTGGTAGATGATATCTTTAGCTGGACCGCTCTGTTAGCCAGTTCATCACTGAGCATTGTGGAAGTGTGTCTACTGGTCATTATATAAAGTAGATCAGATCTGTCATCTTGCATTTCTGTGCAGCTTCCCTCCTCAAATATTGCCCATATATAATATTTGTCTTTCATTGCAGGAGTATAGAGCCATTTTGGACAGCTCAACCCCTCATGTCCTCCTTGACGTTCGACCCAAAGTAGAGGTGGACATTTGCCATATGTCGAACTCAATCAGTATCCTTTCCTATGATCTCTCTTTAACTGTTTAGTATTGGACATTTGCATTATTCAGAAACTCTACATGTGAGTCAGTGCACTGTGGAGTTTCGAATTTCACTAATTACTGTAGTTGTGCCTCCTAAGGCAAGTTTCACTAGTATGTTTGCTCATATTTTCATGAGTTTGCGTTTGTTCAAATCCCTAACCAAAAAAAATGACTCTAACTCTTCCTTGTATCCAAATTTATTTGCATCCCACAATTAATTTTTAATTCTGCAAATTACCTTTATGATTAATGTTGTAGTAGATTAACATTTTTTTTAAAAGCTTTTCATATCTGCTCTCATTAGTCAAAAGTTTGAAATAATCAATTTCTTTTTTGATGTTTTTGAAAGACTTATGCTCATTTATTTGATTAAAACTGTAATATTGTAAAATATTAATTAAATAAAACCTTTTATTTTATTTTAATATATATTAAAATGAAATTTATTTCTATGATATAAAGCTGAATTTTCAGCATCTTCAGTGTCACATGATTCTTCAGAAATCGTTCTGATATGCTGATTTGCTGCTCGATAGTCCTCATTATTATGATCAGTGTTAAAAACTGTTTTTGCAGCTTAATGTGGAAATCAAGTAACATTTTATTTCAGGATGCTGTGATGGAAAAAAACAAATCAGAAGTACAGCATTTATTTGAAAAAGAAATATTTTGTAACATTATAAATGCCTATACTGTCACTTTTGATCGAATTAATGCGTCCTTGCTAAATAAAAGTATATAATTTTTTTATTCTTCGGTCAATCTGATTCGGGATACGAATTACATCTTTCTTGTGCACCAAATCAAAAATTCAAAATATATTTAAAATAGAAGAGTTGTTTTTAATTGTAATATAGAGTCCAATATTATTATTTATACTGTATTTTTGATCAAATAAAAGCAGGATTGGTGAGCAGAAGAGACTTAAAAGGGTCAATATAATCATAAAGTGCCTTTGAGACTTCACAATTTCCAAAATAAAAAGCTTAGAAATGCCTGTTGGTCAAGCTCCAGCACATTATTATTGCATAGTGATAATAAAATGTAGATTTTCAGAAAGATATTTCTTTCTCAACGATGCATTTTAGTTAATGGGAAAAGTCTTTTGATAATAATGAAATTGCCAGAACATATTTGTTTCACTCTAAAAAATGTGGTAGTTGCACTTTCTTTTCTAAATACCATCTAACAACAAATATCAGCTACATTTCTTAATAAAATACATAAAAATATATAAAATAATATATAAAATACATAACATATATAAAAATTACACCAAAGGTTTTGCTAACTTAAAATAATTAGCTTATTTCCATAAAATATGAAGATGACAGTGTGGACGAAGGCTTTAATGTGTAAAGAGATTAGGAAGATGAGAGAAACGACAGGAACAGCAAGAAACCCTTAAGCTATGTATGATACTCTAAATATTGTAATGATTACAGCCTGACAGAAACTAAAACCGCTCACTTGATTAATTAAAAACAGCGGAGTAACTGAACACCGCTGTGTGTTGCTCGGACACGCACAACAGTTGCGCTTTGGCTTTGTTTGGAAGTATTTTTGTATAAGCAAAAACAGACAATATTGACACTATTGTTTGAAATTAATAGTAATTAACTGTTGTATAAAATCAATATCGTATTTGCACTTTTACTACTCATGTGATTGCTTATAAAACCCATACAGGGGCGTTCTTCCATCCAATCTTGAGTTTTAGGCGTATTCTAACTGTGATAGGCTACATCACACATCACGAGTCGTTGCCTTGCGTCATTTTTATCCGTAAGCAACTGCATTGGCAGGGCGGATGTGTTAAATGCATTAATCATTTCAACATGTTATTTTGTTTTATTGTTAATTGCCCCAATTACCGTGTTAAATCGACAGCTCTAGTGAAAACATTATTAGAGTGTGGCAAAAACTACTGGCATATCCTCCCTGTCATGGAAGGCTTGGTGACTGGTCGACATTTTCTTTTTAGCAAAGTGATTCATTGTTGAAGCTGCCTGGGTACTTAAGTTTAAAATATATTTTTTCAGATATTTTATAAAGTTTATAAGTTTAAGGCGAGACACTACAGGTGAATAGGGTAAAATTTTAAACTAGCAGATATCACCATGAAACTTTCCCAGTTGATTACCTACATTAAGATGAGAAAAAAATGTATTAAAAGTTTTCTGTAATTTAATGTTTAAATATGCAAATGAGGGATTAGCTGATTAAATATGCACTAATTTGCATATCTTTAAAACAACGAAATCTGACTTGGATAAAGCCAGGTTCAATTTTTTTTTTTCATTGTGTTCATATAATAGATGGGAAAAAAATTACAGAAGGATTTATGGATATCTACTTTTGTTATCCTGTAAATCAGAATATACCATTAATAGTCTTAAAAAAATGATTTTCGCCATGTTTTTGGGATAAAATGTTACATAAATCAGGCTAGGAATAATATATTTACAAATCCCTCTGTAAATGTCTTATATATCATAATATAACTAGGTACAAGACTGGAAAGTTTGGTGTATATAGGTGCTACTGAAGTGGAGATTTCAGACTTACGCCCGTTTCACACATAGCCTACTCCGTTTGCAGTGCGTATGCGGTCCGTATTTTTTTCCGTACCCATGTTAACAGGTTAGACTAGAGCTTTCACACTGCACGCGGATGCAGTCCGTCGATCCGTTCCAGTTGCGGTGCGTATACAGCAGTGCAGAGATCGTTTCCGTACCGAGTCTATTTCTGCTGTGCTGCAAACGCAGAAATAAAGTGACAGCGCACGGTTCGTGGTCAAAATGAACTCAGATTGACCTCGAAATGTAGTAGTTTCACCATAAATGCATTTAATTCAATAAAATGTAGTAATCTCTCCATAAAGGTATTTAATTGTTTCATATTTTTACTTTAAGACATCTTAATATACAAGTAATGCATGGAATTGTATACATTCGTTGTTTAAATCGTGTTTAAACGAGCATGCGTCCATTCAAGTTTGTAAAAGAGAATCGCAAAGCCATGGCAAAACTTTTATTTTAAAAAAAGTTACTGCATATGGTGAACATATTTTGATTACCAAAAACCAGGACACATGGCCCAGAAAACAAATGATACTCGAAGTTTACTCAAAGATGCCTTATTAATTTCATAATTAGGATACTCAACATGTTTTATTATGACAGGTTGGTTTAAAAAATAATGAATGAAATAATGATTAAAAAATAATGTCTCTTCTGTATTAGAAAAATAAATATATCAATATTAATTAACTAAAAGAAATACCTTCAAATTGAACAAAAATACCTCTCACAAACGTACAAAAACGAACTCGTTTCCTTCCTCTTTATCCTGTTTTTCCTCCTCATCCTCCTTGTCTGCTCATCTCCTATATTTTGCTATAAAGCTGATCTTTTCCAGCGTTTTTTTTTTTTTTTTAAACCAGGACATCACTTTATAAAAAACGGCCAGGAAGGACGTGAAAACAGGACTGGGATAACAGGACTGGTGGTCACTGGTCACGCTATTGCTGCATAACTTCTGATTTTGAAATAAAAATAGCGAGTGTTTGTGGTACAGCTCACGCAATGCAAACGCAGCATATGTGAAAGCACTTTAGCGCGTGCGGCTCCTGTACCGGATACGCACCGCAACACTCACCGCATACGCACTGTAAACGGAGTATGTGTGAAACGGGCGTTAGAGTATGAGAAAAAAGTCATTTTGAGAAAACGGGCTTTAAAAAATTATATTCTAAAATTCCACACATTTCTACATGAAAACATTGCTAACAAGCAAAATAACTGGCCAAGTTATTGTTTATAACAATTTACATGAAAAATGACAACTGAATAAAACAACATTGCCAAATAAGCAGCCACTGTTGTGTTGCGTGCGCTTCATCTTTATTTATAGATTGGCTTCCCATCGACAGCTTGCGTTCAGATGCGCTTCCCGAGGGCATTTCACAGGGTAATACATCACTAATTTTCCTTTTCCCCCTAGCAAGTGACAACTGCTGTAATCTTTTCGATGACTGACGTGAAGTCATTTTCATTCATTCATTCAGAAAGTCCCGCGGAAAGCTAAACCAAATCAGCAAGCGTCAAAGCATACCATGTGACGATTGACGAATCACGTTAATCCCCGAGGTAAACAAATCCCCACTTTTGCTTCCACGATTGGATGTTGATTAAAAGGAAATGACCATATTTGGGCCTGACAGCATTGGAAAGGAGAGAGATGTGCTTTGTATGTGATGACAGGGTGTATGCAGCGATCGCGGAGCAGCGCGATCATTTAGAACGCAACTTTTGTTAAATTTATGAGAAATCTACAGGCGCAAACTGACAAAGTGTAGTAAAATAAAGACCTAAATATGTATTTCGGACTTTTTTTCAACACAAGTCTGAAAGAATACATGTTATTGAAGTCAAATATCCCAAAATCTCAAAATTGACCAGTGGGAAAAAAAAACGATGTTTTTGCCTGCCGTGTCTCGCCTTAAGATTTTACTATGACATGGTGGACATCTTGATAACATCCAACTACAAACACAATATCGAAATTAGGAAATATAAGTGTAGAATCTTAGTATACTTGCTGCTAATCCATCGACCGGAAGTTGAAGCCTCGCGGGAGCTGCCATCTTGTAGCAGTAACTAACTTCACTTGCGTTAGCATTCCCATTGACTCCCATTCATTTTGGCGTCACTTTGACAGTGAATAACTTTACATCTGAGGCGTTTGAAGACCCCATTTGTCCTTTATTTTTTTCTAAAGAAACACGACAATGTAGAAAATGCTCCATTACCTTGTAGCTTATGTTATGGCCCTGTATAAGCATTTTTTTTTGTAAAAGTAGGCTAACGATTGCGTCATACCCACGCTACTCTCTGTCGCACAGTAAAGAGATTACCGTATGGACAGGAGGAGAAGCTCGCGGGTAATCAGGCAAATGTGGAGGCAAAATGACAAAATAATTAATCAGAACACCTAGCAAAATTGTCTCCTGCTCCTAGCTCATGGACAGCTCCTACTCACACTCTCCGCCTCTGCATGTTTCGGAAGGGAATGATTCATCGACGTCATCAAGCTCTGTTTTGAGTCTGCGCGCCAGGGACGGAAGTGCTAAAAAAATCGCCAAAAACGGGCTTCACTTGTCTCAGTTCCAATGAGATGGCTCTGTCCACTTGCTGCAACCTCCATTGAAGAAAGAGCAAATGCGGGTTTCTTAAAGGGCCAGTTACCCCATAATGACAGGGCGGTGGGGTGTCACGATTCGCCAAATCCTCGATTCAATTACATTTTCGATTCTAAGGTCACGGTTCGATTCTCGATTTTTATCAATCAGCCAATCAGGATGCTCTTTGTCTTACATGCGCTTCATGAGGCACACACGCAAGGTCTCTCGCTCTCTCCCTCTCTGCCGTACGCGCAATACGGTTTGAAGCACATTTTTCTCGTCATGCACGCTTGCTCTTGCTCGTTCACTCTAGATTCCAGGAGATTTGAACTCATTTGCGGGCATCAGGGAGCCGCTATCAATATGCGGGAGACTCATCAATATGAATATGCAAATTAGCCCCGCCTCCACTCACACCAGCTAAAAGATGCACTCGACGGATCCACTTTACTGAAGTAAACGCTGCACAATTGTATCGCTTACGATGTCTGACACAGTATAACGCTGACTATGTAATCAGACATCTAATAATGTGTTACACAAACCATGTTCCTGTTCGCCATCTCAGTCTACCTTTTTAAAATCAGTATCCTTAGCCAAGTAAACAAAATGATTTTAAACTCTGTTTCCCTTTTGATATACACATTTAGATTCATTTAGATTAGCAATGTTTATACAACAGATAGAGCATGTACCCGCTTGGCATAAACAATGTTCATTTCTCGTGCTCAGGTTTGGAGGCACTAACACTCATCTCGCTTCTGCTGACGTTCCTTCATATCTTCATATTTAACTCCTTCAGTTTACTTTTCTTACCTTACATACCAGACATTCCACTTGCTAGTTTAGAGGATAAAAAGGCTGAGCATATCACACTTTTAAAAGATACAATTAGTAACCTCAAACAACAGACCAAATCTCAAGTCCCAGGTAAGAATCTTTTGTTATATGTCGTTTTTTTTTTTTTTGTGATTAAAGGGATAGTTGACTTTGAAATAAATTTTTATGTTTTAGCTTACCTCAAGGGCATCCAAGATGTAGGTGTCTTTGTTTCCGCAGTAGTTTCAATTTTTACATTTTTAGGTCAAACCGTTCTTGTCTGTCAGTCATATAATGGAGGTCTATGGTCACCACCTCAAAAAGCATGCACAGAGAAGTCCAAATTAAACATGATTTAATGACTCGTTAATGTAAGTACACATTGATGGCCTAAGACACGAAACGAGCGGTTTGTGTGAGAAAAAGATCAGTATTTATATCGTTTTACCTCTTGTAAGCACAGCCACGTCCAAGTTATCTGGTAACAAGAGGTAAAAACGATATAAATACTGTTTGTTATCGCACACAAACCGCTCGTTTCGTGTCTTAGGCCATCAGTGTGTACTTACATTTACGAGTCATTAAATCATGTTTAATTTGGAATTCTCTGTGCATGCTTTTTGAGGTGGTGACCATAGACCTCCATTATATGACAGACAAACATGAACGGTTTGACCTAAAAATATCAAAATTGAAACTACTGCGGAAACAAACACACCAAGAAACAAAGTGAGTTACAAAAGATTTTTATTTCAAAATTTATTTATTTTTTACTTTCTTTCCATCAGAGTAACATGTTTTTCAGAAAAAAAGGTGTAAAACCAGTTTGAACCATTGTTTGAACATTGTTTTTTTTTTTAAATTGATTATTATATTTTTGATAGATTCATAAATATTCATTATAGTTATCATTATCCTTATGTAAAATTTACATAGTACTTCTGGAGTGATTATTTATAAAATAATTGTGATGAGTAGTTTACGTACACATTTTACATACACTTATAATGCATAAATAAAATTGGGTAAAATAAAGTTCTTTGTGTGCCGTATGATTGCTGTGAATAAGCTTACTTTGTAAAAAAATATTTTTTACTTTTATAAAAAGAAAGAACAGTTACTTTTATTCAGCATGAATTTTTTTTCAGAATTTTTGATCAAATAAATGCAGATTTGGTGAAAAGTATATACATTATATATGAAGAGTTCAGATGCAAAAGCCTCTAAATGCCATTTGAAATTTTCTTCTTTAATGATGATTTTTATCAAACTTGTATATTTAAGTTGAGTAATTTCACTTAAATGACAATGAAAATTACCTATTAATTGTTATTTAAGTGAAATTACTGAACTTAAATATACAAGTTTGATAAAAATCATCATTAAAGAAGAAAATTTCAAATGGCATTTAGAGGCTTTTGCATCTGAACTCTTCATATATATATATATATATATATATATATATTTGGCAAAAGAAGATTATTTGTATGATTGGAGTAAATGAGCATGAATGGAGTGAACCAGCTAACTTTACCTGTGTGTTTACCTTTATTGTCTTGCAGTGTTTGTGGTGTGCAAACTCGGCAATGACTCCCAGAAGGCAGTTCAGCTCCTGGAGGAAATGTCGGGTCTGGAAATGGAGCAGATCACTGTGAGGGACATCCGTGGAGGATTGATGGCCTGGGCCAAGAACATAGACCACTCTTTCCCTCAATACTGACATTAATGAAGGAAAGCAATAAAGTTCAAATGATTTTCACTTTGTCTATTTCATTTATGCTATAATTGGTTTGATTTTGGGACCTCATCACTCCCCTGCATTTCTGTTTTTCAATGCATCTTTTAATGTGTGTAATATAATCAGACTGATTTCTCCATTTATTATGATTCTAGTAAGTTATTCCTACTCTGCAGCTTTAAGTTCTCAAATAAATAATCATAATAGTCATCAATATCCCATGGTGATAATTTATGATATAATTGTGACTAGGAGTTTACATACACTTTGCATTTGCGGAATATACAAAATGTTATATTCATATAAGTGCATGAAAACTTTTAGCTATAATGACTACTTAACCCTCAGGTGCTCTTCGGTCATTTCTGACCGAAAAATGTTCTGTTTTGAAATTTTAAAAATCACAGCTTCATCGGAATGTTACGAAACTTGGTGACTTTTATGGCATTGTGTATGTGAAGGTCATGATCCGAGCATGCTAAGTGGTCGTAAAAAAAATAGTCACACTTGTGCTCTTCGGTCAAAAATGACCGACCATAGGAAATGAAATTGACAAAAACACAAAAACTTTGAGAATTTTTGTGTGTACAATCTACAAATCGGCCACGATGCAAAAAAAAAGTGCTCAGCATTGAAGGGGTGACACTGTAAAACATCAAGAGTGCAAAACAGACATACCCACCCCTACTCACACACACTTTTATACACAAAAACACCAATAAATTGTGATTAAAGAAATCTGTTTTGAATGTTTAAAAATCACAGCTTCTTCAGAAAATTACGAAACTTGGTGACTTTTATGGCATTGGGTATGTGAACACACAAAAAAAATTGAGGTCATGATTCGAGCAATTTAAGTGGTCGTAAAAAAATGAGTCACACTTTTGCTCTTCTGTCAAAAATGACAACCCATAGGAAATGAATGGGAAATTGATACAAAAAAAATTCTCTGAATTTTTGTATGTACAATCTACAAATCGGCCACAATTCTAAAAAAAAAAAGTACACCGCAAGAAAGGGGTGACACTCTACAACATCTAGAGTGCAAAACAGACACACCCACCAACACACACACACACACACACACATACAAACACACTTTTATACACATACACACCAATAAATTTTGATTACAAAAAGTATGTTTTGAATTTTTAAAAATCACAGCTTCATCGCGATGTTACGAAACTTGGTGACCTTTATGGCATTATGTATGTGAACACACAAAAAAATTGAGGTCATGATCTGAGCATGCTAAGTGGTCTTAAAAAAATAGTCACACTTGTGGTCTTTGGTCAAAAATGACCCCATAGGAAATGAATGGGAAATTGTAAATAAAAAAAAAATGTTTTTTGTCATTTGTTTTATAAGAAATAGTTTTTGAGATTGTTTCAACTACATATACAAATCCACCACCAACAACAACAACAAAAATGTGTTCATAAACAGCTGGGGAATTCACATGCCTCTCAATAGAGAGCTGTACATGCCATCAAGTGGTTACACCATGATTCTACGCTTTTTCTCTATACTGTAACCAGATGGTGCTAATTTTCTTCAAAAAAAATTTTTTTCTGAAGGCCTAGACTCTATATTAAACTAAAATACTGCATTAATATTTTTTTTGAAGAAAATAATATATATATAGAAAATAATATTTTTTAAAAATATTTTTCTATGGCAAAAATAAACCATAAATATTGCATAAATATTAATAAATTCATTTAAATTGTCTCAAAATACTAAATTAAAAAGAATAAATATTATAGAACAAAAATAAATTGCATTGGTTTTACTGGGATGGAGAAAGTTTCATTTTTAGGTGTCCGGTCACTTTTGACCGGGAAGATAACAAGTGTGACTCCAAAACGAAGAGCACCTGAGGGTTAATTGTCGCTGTCATTACAAACAGTATACAATGCAGTCATAGAGGTGTATAACTCTATTCAGGTCATCTGAATTGAAATTATTACAAATTGAATGCATGAATCAACATAATAGTACTATATTTGTGATCAATGCTATAATTATGATGGACAAGAACAGCTTGAGCTTTGTGGACAATCACAGATAAAAGCCGCTACAATGAATCATCAAGGACTCGGCAATGCTGTATTGCGTCATAGCGGCCGCGGAATGACGCCGCTAGAGGGCGCGCTCACGCGGCATACTCACATAACGGAAACTGCGCGTGAGAGACATGCGCGTACGCCAGTGAGAGAAAGAGAAAAACATTTCTGCACTTTTGAAGCTCAACTTCACTTCTTCAGCTCGACAGACGTGCCATTTCCTTCAGCCTTTACTTTCTCTGTCTGTGCGGCGTTCGTTATTTGCCCGCGGAGATGGCCAGAGCACATTAACACGCGTGTAACGTGACATGAGAAGAGGTTAGAAAGTTTTCAAAGCGAGCTCATGTAACGGAGCGATGGTTAACTGGCTAAGTTAAACCCCAAAAGCCTTAAACAAGAAACCCCGAAGCTCACAAGTCCTCGTTTCCCATTGATAGTAAGCTTAATCTCTTCACTTGTCAGGGAAACGCCTTTCCAGCATTGAAGGTATGTGTTCCTTTCTTTCCCTCTTCTGTTCAGTGTGTTTATTTCGTCTTGAGATTCAGTTGTTAATGATGCATGGTGATAAAGCTCGAACAAAGACATTGTATAACTTGTTTTGCTGGTATTTGTGGTCTTGTGCCAGTTATGCGATCTAGAGTGGGAGGGTCTCCAGATGTGCTTCCAGATGTGAGCTGGAGCTCTTCATAGCAAAAGACAAAAATGGGCAAAACTCCTCCAGAAAACAAGGATTTTGAGTTTTACTCTCTGATTTGGATATTCAATAACTCGCTATTCGTATTAATGAATGGGTTCTGTAGCTCACAGTCAGGGAATTGTGGATTAAAGACTTGAATCTGTGTTCGTTTCTAACAGGATTGCAATGGAAAGCACTTTGTGAAGCATCATGATCTCTCAGCCGTGGAGTGACACTATCAATTCAACATGTGCTGGATAGTGCACAGACAGCCATGAGTATGCTATCGGGAATTGGTGTTTTTAGAGGGCGACGTAGCGAAAAATAGGTACCTTATCCCTTGGTCAAATCTTGCTGCCTCACACACCACGGCTTGCGCATGACTGTGCCAAATCTGCTCACCTGCCTTAGGACAGATTAAAAACACAACCCGTTCCCTCGTCGGATATCGGCCACGGTTTCCAAGCTCGTTACACGGTTTACTCTCAACCTGTGGAGGTAACTAATGTCTGCCAGTAGTAGCACCTCTCCTCTGACCTTACCTAAACCCTTCGTCCACTCTCAGCATCAGACTGCCCCCCCGACCCCCTCTCCGTCCCCCAGCCCTCCGGTGCCACTCTACGTCCGCCTCTCCAATGGGAATCACAGTGTCCCCAGCCCCACCTGCTCCCTTCACGGAGGAGTGTCCTTCCTCCTTCAGATCGGACTCACCAGGGAGATGGTCACCCTGGAGCCACACGATCTGTCGCTCAATTCTGTCAAGGATTTGGTCTGCTCCATAGTCGATCAAAAGGTAATTACGTTTTGTTTGTGTGACGGTCTCTCACTTTCATCAAGAGTGCTGAATCTGGCATGGTCACACATTTTAACATCATTTGAATGAGTGTCCCTACACACACTATGTTCTTGCTTGATATTTAGAGCACTTGATTATTTGTGAAATTGAATTCTGTTAATTTTTCTAAAAGGGTGAGACTAATTGACTGATGTGAGTTTATTCCTGTAATCATCAGGAAGTTGATTTAGGTGGATGAGCATGAGGAGCATTAGTGACTGATTAAAGAACACATTTCATTCAATCTCATCTAAATCTGCTTTGATCCACAAACACGGCAGATGAGTTGGGATGTGTGTGTCTTGGCTGTGAATGTTTGACCTTAGTCGGAACGTAGTAGTAAATATGTTATTTTAGTTGTAGTTTTGAAGAGAGACTTGAATGTTGAACGCTGAGTGGTTGCTAGGGTGTTGCTAGGCCATATTCATGGTGTGTTAGTGGTTTCTTGGACAATCCTAAGTAGTTAGAGAGAGAGAGAGATCACTGATATTAAGTCTTAATAGTTGATTTGATCTGATTTCAAAGGTCTTATTTGTCTTTTAGTGTCATTTGCATTAGATTTCTTTAATTGGTTTGTTCTAGTTACATATAGGCATGCATGTGTTATAGTTGATCAATTTTATAATGATATGTCTGGTGTTTTGGACACACTTATCATGAACACAGTGACTCTAAAACTAATTTTTAATATTTGGTAGTTTTATTTATTTATTTATTTTTTTATTTTTTTTTATAATTTTATTAAGGAATCAATATAAAAAATGAGTACAAGTAAACAAACATAACAGTAAGAGAAAAAAAAGCAAAAGGAAAAAAACAAATGAACATACAAACAAAATAATAATACAAGAGGAGAAAAGTGAGCCAACGTATACAAAATCGACAGATGGCAATACGGATGCATCTATCTCTCTTACCTACACGTATAGATCCATACACGTGCATACTTATTCATACACACATATCCATACATACATACGTACATATATACATACATATACATAGACATACATTCATATATATATATATATATATATTTATATATACATACATGCATGCATCCGCATACACAAATATATACATACATACCTACATATACACACACATACACTCATACACATGCAAAAAAAAAAAAAAAAAAATAGTAATAAAAAAATAAGGGGGGGGTGGGGGTAAAAAAAAGAACAAAGATTATACAAACAAAACAAAAAACAAAAAAATAGAAATTAAAAATAAGGAGGATGAAGAGTTATATTTGGTAGTTTTATAACTGATAGTACAAGGTTGCAAGCACATCTTTACCCTACGATGTGTTTCATGAGATTGTGTGTCTCAGTGTTTGTGTGATGCATGAGGCAGATAAGAGCATGCATGTAAAAATCTGTTAGAACGGAAACACACTTTTTCAATCAGTCACATATTGTGTAAACATGCACTTTGT